CACACACACACACACACACACACACACACACACACACACACACACACACACACACACACACACACACACACCTGGACTGTTTCATGTGACAGGGGTCTGAATAACTTTGTTACCTGCTGAGCAGTAAACCCTTCAAAGAGGCAATCTCAGCCTTCAGGTCTCCAACTGTTTGGTTGTCTAGGATGCGGTTGGTTGAGGACGATGTCTATACAAAAACACAGGAGAGACACACACAACTGTCACTGACACTAAAACACAAACCTGCACTGTTCAGGTCAGCTGAAGGGTCACAGCACAAAGCCACTGTGGGTGTTTAGACTTTTCTGCAACTGTAGGAAATATATTAAAAAAAACATAGTACATGAAAGGATAGGGTAAGTAAACAAATATAGTAAATGCAAATACTAAAAGCCACATGTTTATGTGTAGTCAAGTCACCAGTCACTATAACAACTTGGCAACTGCCTACTGGGGGTGACGACAGAGCAGGGCAAACAATCCTGCTGAAACCATGTTTCTGATGTCAGGAAGTCTAGTGAGTGTGAATTGTGCTGTTTTTACATAATTTTCCATACTACCTAGAACAGATTAGGTCAGTGTGCAGTGTTTTGGATAAAGGCAATCTTGAACAATAGACACATTCATAAAGACAGACCAAAGCTCAGCAGTGTTTTGTTCTTTTGCTCTTTTATCACAGGCTTGTGTTATCACACAAAGACAAATACACTGGTGTAGCATGAAATGCTACAGGGTATAATGGAAAGGGATTTGAATGGCAAATTACAGTTGAAAATCTGACTCTGGTGCCTTTTTTGTGGGGAACGTTAAGAAGCGTAGCTATAATAAAAGCGAGCCGTAAAAGAACCCGTTTTGGCAAAGAAAGAGCATTACAAGTCAAAACCATTAGTTTATTTGTTCTGGGCTCGTGCAACATTTGCTAAAAAATAACCATCCTGGAAACTCAAATTAATTAGAAAGCCAAGCCTGCACACATCGGAGTCAAATGCTGTGTGTGAAAAATGTGGAGGCAGATGAAGAGATGCAAGACAAATAAGGATTTGGATACTAATTACTTGAAAAAGCAATGCAATATAAATAGATTATGGACAGTTTACACTATAAAAA